AAAGTTTGATTCTGGGTATGGGCTTTCGTGTCCATGTACCTGTATCTGAAGACATGTGCATGCACATGAAAGTTATTGCCCAGAATAAAACTTTGTTGGTCTTAAAAGTGCCACTGGACTCAAACTTTGTTCTGTTGCTTCAGACCGACACGGCTACCCACCTGAATCCATCCCTTTTCTCTGTTATTCTTAGGTCCACCGTTAGGAGGGACACAAAATGTGAGCAAAAATCCAGAGCAGCAGCGGCCTCAGCCAGGTAAGAATACTGAATGGTCCGGCGGATAAGGCAGTGACTGAACTGGAAATGGAATGAAACCAGTGGGTGTGCCTGGTTCCCATTGTGGGATACATGGTGGCAACTAGCCAAGTAGGAACCGTCAGACTCAGCCCCAGTTGATCTGCCAGAGAAGGTGGAAGGGAGCTAGGACCCAGGGGAGTCTGAGCTGCCTCTTGACAGTGAGACTGCGGTATTGAATATAATGGTGTCTGCAGAGCTGATCTAGTGGGTTGGTAGCCAGCCAGTGACTTTGTGGACCCTGGCTGCTAGTTCTGAAGCTGAAGCAACTCCTGCTTCCTCTGTCTGAGGTGTTAGGCCTGGGAAGGATCAGTAACCTTCATGCTCTGCACTCACTGTACTTATGAATCAAGGGTGTCTTAATTTCTGAATCATGATTTTTAAGGAATTGGATACTTTAAGAAGTATTACACTGTATATTGTGGCCTGTTCTTCAGACTAGCATCAGATTGAAACCTCTCAAATGTTTGGTGTAGGTGGCAGGAAGAATATCCCATTGGGGATTAAAAGTGAAATTACATTTGCATTATCCTGTCTCTTGTGCCACAAGGCTTAATAATGTCTCATTTTCATTTTCTTTTGGCCCTTCTTACATAGATCCGTACCAGATTTTAGGACCAACCAGCAGTCGTCTAGCTAACCCAGGTGAGTTGATCTGTGGAGTAACTTTGTCTTTGGGATGAGTGAATGTTCCCTATTTAGTTTTTTTAATTATTGGTTTGTATCTTTGTCAACAATTTTTGTTCTCTCTTTAATGCATATGATATGCATGATGTTGATTTATTAATATACAACCAGCATTACAAATATTAAAATAATGGGGCAGGAATTGGCTGCAGGGAAAATCAAAATATGGAAATAAAGATTTACAATTTCAAATTGCACAATGGAGAAATGAAACCAAAATGGGGCTTTTCAAGCTTAAACTATGAGAAATTACAAATCATTCATACCCTTATCTTCTGCGTCTTAGGGCTCAAACAGATGTAATGAAGATGATGCAACTTTGTCTGCCTATAAAATGCCAATTGCAGGCTTCTGAAGCCTCAATTTGCCTTGTAATCACATGGGGGGGACAGGTTTAACCCTTCAGCTTCTGTTTGGATTCAGTACTGTAACCAGAATTGGCTCCCCCACTCTGCTGTAAGCATTTGGGTGGGGGAAAGATGTGTCCTTTAAAAAGACATCTTTTCCCCTTTGAAATATGAATCACTAAGTGAGGAGCCTGGTTTTGATTAGCAAAAGCCCCTTTTCTCTTCCCTGCATGACCCTGAGGCAAACTGAGGCTGTCCTTTCCATTTTGTATATGGATGGAGATACATGATCTCCATCACGTCTCTTTAAGCTGTTAGATCGATACTTTATCATTCTTTTTTTTTTTGGTCAAAAGACTTTTTATTTTCCATTATTATCACATTTTACATCTTTTTATCAATTGGTTGAATATTCCCTTTTCCCTCCCTCCCCCGAAAGGCTTCCCGCAATGCA